GTTGTAATCGAAAATATGGTTGTTAATAATAAGCGCAAAGTCAACGAATTTTCAACGTCATATGTGAGATTATGATTCTTTACGACTTTTCTTTACTCTTTATCTTGATTTACATCTGAGTTTCAATTGGTTGCATATTTTTCTTTGATTCTTTCGAAATGACTTTTCTCTTGTTGTTAAAAACGAAACAGAACAAAGATGTTCGTAGTTTGATTTTTATTTTGCTATGAATTTCATAGGCGTTCTTTTAATGTGAACGAAGCATAAAATCAATATAATTTTGATTGAAGCAACAACGAAACAATGGTTTTCCTCCTTGTTATACATAGCGCATATCATTAGTAAGGAATTGCAATAAAAAAAGCTAGTGCTACTATCCTATTTGATACTCTCTGGTATGCTTCGCTCATAAGGATACAGCAAACAAGGCAAAACTTAACTTCAGTCGTCATTAAAAATTTTTGTATAGAAACGCATACAAACTTTTCTTGATTAAATATTGATCTACTCTATTACTCACCAAATTATGGTTTGGCTTCTTTTTCTGTGCAAATATATGCCAATTCAAACTATTCATTCATGCTCAGAAATCGATTGAGACATGCAGCACAGTTAATTTCGTATTTTTCTCTTCGGTGCGAGCAATTTACTCGTAAAGATTCATTCGAAATTAGTGTGAAATAAAAGAAATTTTCTTTTAAATACTAATTGATACTCTTCCTTTAAGTTCCTCAATTCGTGAAGAAAGCATATTACAATTTTGTTCACTGATATTCAAATTTCACTGAACTTGACAGCAGATCACAATAGCAAAGAAAAAGATTCTGGCAGCCTAATTACTGTTATCACCAACTTTATCTATAAGAAATATATGCCAATGGAATATATATTCGAAACAATATTCTAATAGATAGCAATGAGCGTTGTTGGTTTGCGAAAGGGAATTGCATATATGTGTGTATAGCTAATAAATAACGAAAGGTAGCGTCGATGTATCGCTTGTTCTAAAGTAGATTCGATAGGAAGACTAAAACTACGATTTTGTTTTGTCAATTCAAAAGTAGAAAAGAAAACATCATCGTTGAAGTACATGCTTGAAGTATTTGTGCAAGCGTAGAAATTTATTTCGTGAAGAAAATCGGCTTATCCGAATTTCCCAATAAGACTTTCGCCAACTGGATATTTGCAAAAGGCGAAAGTTCAATGGGCTCTCATCAATTTACAAATATCCTGGACGTATATTGGCGAAAGTATAGTGGACTCCCAGTAATTGAAACAAGTTTGATGAACTTTTACCATTTGCCACAGAAGAATATAAATGTTGGATATGAGCGAGGAGGATGGGTATCAGTATATATCTCGGTGTTGTCTATTAATCTGCATGTTACACTGTTGAATGCACATCAGACTCTCGCCAATTCGCGAGAGCCACCAAAGTATATTGGCGAAAATACACTGGACTTTCGCCAATGACAAATTTCCTGTTGGCGAAAGTCTCATTGGTGAAATTCTGGAATCCCAGAAAATTGCCCGTAACGTTGATTGTATTATTTTTGTTTGGTTTCTTTTGAAAAAGCAAACACAACGAGCAGGAGAGATCAACAAAAAAAGTACCATCACAATGAGCCAATAGTAATGCCATTCTGTTATTTCTGTCATCTTTTCTTTTTCTTTCTTTCTTTCTTTCTTTCTGTTTTCATCTTGATAAGGGCTACCTTTCTACTTCTCTCAAGTTGAAATGCTTCGATAAAAGAAATGAATGAAAATCTATTGAATCTCGTTCATTGCATTACACTTATTTTGTTTCGCTATGGCCATTGGCATAAACCATGAATCTTGCTGCAGAGAAGTGTGTGGTGTATCCTCACACGCTTTAGTATCATGGACGAATATCGTTTCTTTGACAAGAAAAAAGAAAACCACATCAACTGCACATTTGATTTGATTATTAATGACAGTTTCAAAAAGTTTAAATAACATTAACATCGCATTTTTGACAAGTAGAAAAGGACTGTAAGCGACGTACAATCGAATAGAAGCAAAAATGAAAAAGACATGAAATAGTGTAAAAATTTCTTTTAGTATAGATCAGAAAAATAATGATTTGTATCAAATAACAGTAATAAAAAGGATGAATTTATAGTAACCTTAATGTAATTAGAAGCAAAAAATACAATCAAACGAAGAGATTTTAAGTTTTGTCGAATACGCTACTAATGTTTTTACTCATTCTTCCATTCCTGACTATTGTTCGATTTACTTTCAACGAGTTTGAACTATTAAAGAATTCTTGTGCGCAGAACTGGTACATTTCATGTTGAAGAAAATCACTGATCATCGAAGCTTTAATTCAGAGAAGGTATGAGTGTGGGCGTGTACGTGTGAGCGTGGGTTTTGATGAAGAGAATATCAACACCCACACCCCACACACTCAATCTTCAATTCTTGACGATGTATTTGATTCGAAATAACAAAAATTAACAGCAATATTAGCTGAAGCTGATGATGACATTTTACCAACAAGTATAAATCGTTCTGTAATAGGTGTTAATGTAACTGACTGGCTCGGATAAATATCATAAATATTGGCATTATTGATTGGATTCGCATTGAAATATCTTGTTTATGGCCTATCGATCCATTGAGCAATATCGTTAGCATTATTTTGAGCCATGCTTTTCTCAAACGAAATATAGCCACCACCACTAAGATCCGCTAAATAATTAATCAACAGAAAATTAGTAGGCTCAATTACGAAATTCGCATTAAATATCCATATTGTTTTCGTTGTCTAGTTGTTCAATAGGACTGAATCCTCATTGCCAATTGTTGAAAGATAATCGTTAATTAAAAAGTAATGTGTTGCATTTAGAATCTTAGTTGAAAGTATAGCTAGTTGAAATAGATTCGTTGCATCATCGTATGATAAATTTATTAAAAACTGGATAAACTTAGACCAATTATCCTGTTCTTGCAGGTTAAATAAACGTGATTCTTCATGTTCGCTTCGAAAAGCAACAATGGTTAAATTGACATTAATACCATGCGATTGCCAATTATTTAATATCATCTTGAGTATAGTAATTTCATGATTACGACTTTCAACATTCGGTCGACTTAACTTTGCATTCCAAAGTATACAAATCGACATTGACTTTTGACTATTGGGTAGGATGTTATTTGTTTGTAATAATCGTGTCACATAGCATAAAGCAAAATAAGCTTGACTATGAGGGTGTGGGTATGGATGCGTGTGGATGTAGATGTGGAAGAGTGGTGTTGCCGTCGATACGAGTATTGTTGTCAGTCACACCCATACCTATACCCGAACAAATAAGTCGTTCCATTACACACAATATATTTTCGAAACGTCATTTGATTCTACTATTTAAGACATTTTTCCCTTTTTTTCTTGAAAAGAAAATATGACATGTTTTAAATTTAATTCGAGTTTATCACACTTATTGTAAAAATTGAAGGCGGTCAGATCTTGAAATCCAGCGAATTCAAATTCGTCTGAGCTCGACCAGAGCGCTTCGAGACACTCCTCTCTCGGTCATCGATCGATCCATTGGTACGCTCTCGATCAATAACTAATCAAGCAAAAATAAAAATTCCTATTGCAATACATTTTCATGGTAGAGTCTATGACACAATTATTAACAATACATGGTTGCGACACATTGTATTTTAGCGTATAGTTCAGATTCCCAATTTTCTAAAAGTTCAACTACAATTCTGACAAAAGAAGTTGTTTAGAAAGAAGTTAAGAAAATCATTTTTATCAGTAATCTGAATATGCTCTTGCGCTGTTGAAGAAATTTTTTGTAAGACCGAGTGAACCAATAAATGTAGGCAATCATGATAATAACAAACAAAAACTTGTGGAACTCGCAAAGTAAACTAGTTGAGCTAATCCTAAATTCGCACTGTTTGTGTAACCATTGACAATCGTCTATTTTTGTACATTGAACTTCAGTCAAATAAGCTCGGCAATCACCACTGTCCAGATATTTGAGCATGAAAGGACAGCGTGTTTTTAGACGATCTTCGATACCTGCTCGGTATGTTAATCTACCTACATCAAACACAAGAACTGTCTGATTCATTTGATAGGATAGCCATGGCTGTTCTCGCAGATGAAACAAACTAAAATAATGAATGAGTTTCGAAGAAAGAATAGCTTCAGCAGGTGTGAATTTGGTCCCTCCTAAATCATTGTGAAATACATAAGGCAATTCAGTGAAATGAGTAGCATTGAAATGATAGGATGTATAATTCCAATGTTCTGCAGGATGTGCAAACAGGTACGCGTAAACTGAAGATGATAGCTTTGATAAATGATCTAGAAGAAATATACTCGGACAACATATATAGTAATCACCGAATAACCAACTGAGTGCGTCAAAGTAGTTTTTGTTTGTCTCAGTGGGATCACATAGATCGATGAGATCATCTGGGATCTGATATTGTGAAGCCCAAGGACGATATTCGTCTGAAGAGATTGACAATTGATATTGATTGAATAGCAATACACTAGTTTGACCTTCATTTGTATTGAATCGAACTAGAACGGATGCACTCTGATTGTATTCACCTTTGCGAATCAAGGCTAATGGTTGTTCTTCTAATTGTGAACCAATACCAACGCAAGGCCACAAGTCTATCCAATGTGGCTTCAGCTTTTGGCTAAGTTGCCTAGCAGGTAATTCTTGAAAACAATTAATGTTCGATTGGCATTCAAGAAACGAATTTTCAAGCATTTGCCTATTTTTCTGTTCTACCTGTTGACATTCCAACAAGCGATAAGGTCCTGATGATTGCAGCACAATCGATGAATACAATGGCCAGCTGGATGGCATCAACAAATGAGCGACGACAGAACCTCCACCAGCTGATTGACCAAATATCATCATATTCATCTTATCACCACCGAACGATGCAATATTATTCTGCACCCATTGCAGTGCTAGTTGTTGATCAAGCCAACCAATGTTTCTCGTTTTGACATTGGGTAATGGGAAGAACCCGAAGATACCGAGACGATAATTGATTGTTACAATAATAGAGTGAGACAAACGAGCGAGATCAGTCCCATCATAGAAATTGCCACTACCAGAAGTGTAACCGCCTCCATGAATCCACACGTGTACTGGCAATAATGAATGGTTGTTTGAAGGAACCCAAATATTTAGAAACAAACAATCCTCATTTTCCTCACCTATTTCCGGTTGACCATGAGGACCATACGGATGGCAAACTGGTCCAAACACTGTAGCATTACCTACACCGATCCAGAAGCGTGATAATGAGGCTGGTGACCAACATCTAACAACTTGTCCATAACGAATGCTTAAATAAATGTCGACTCCGTTCGATGTCAAGCCAGCAAGATCACCAGTCTGAGTTCGTATCATTCTCGCTTCGACAGCTATAAAAGTCGCCAAGCAGATAAAATAATAAGATGCTTTCATCTCAGGCAACATTGTCAGTTTCACCGAAGTCAATTTGAATAACGTCTTTTCCCGTTTATTCTGGTTCTTTAAATCCAATATCTTCAGTATTCATCACTCTATTTCGAATATTTTACGTGGACGTCTCTTTTTCTTTGACGTTCTGTTATCAGTTACACTCAAAAACTGTTATCTTACGATTAAGACGCACTTAATTGGTGCTTGATTTATCACAAATCCAGCGATAAGTCGGTGCGACGGAGAAGTTGCATCAATCAGTCGCATTAAGTATGCAGCATTTAGTTGTTTTTATTTGGAAAGAAACAAGATCTGTTGTTTCAATAAGATGTCATTTCAAGTGATGCAACAACCCAAGAGAGCTTTGCGAGATCTGAAGGTTTTATTCTATCACAAATTAACAAACACAACTCGACAATAATTTCATGATTCACTCTTGTTCGATCTTTGAGTCACAGGAAGAGATTACACTATTGAACTTCTTTGATCGTGATGAGTTCTTTGTCAATCGCGCCTGACAAAGCAATTAGTCGAACAGAAACTAGATTTTCGAAACTATTTGTGTTTCTCCTTACCTTCTAATTCTTACTGAAGTTGAAAATAAGAATAACCATTGAACTCAGCGTAGTCACCATCTTTGTACGGATCGGTACTCTTAAGAAAGCACTTATTAGTCTTGAATAGAAAATAGTAGATAGGTCTATGTTTTGTAGATCGAAAGAGAAGAATTTTGTCTATTGTCTCGTCCCACTGCAATTCAACATCCCATCATTTTGATGAAACTTTGCTGTAGGTTATGGAGGGCCCTGAATCCGAATCCGAAGCCCATTTTTTTGACCGAGATTTCATTGGTCAGGAACCGGCCAATCAGAAATGAGCTTTTTTATTTTAAGACTTTTGGCCATTTTGATC